GTATTTCAAAGATGATTTTATGATCCGTCTGTTTATCACTGTCTACTAAACCGTGTAGCGTGAGGCAGGCTCGATGCATCATTATCATGATAACTAACGAAATCCAAGCTGTATTTATTTACCTTCGTTGGTAGCAGCCAACAAATTATTCAGGTGAACAAAGACAACTCCAACTATTTATGTGCAAATCATAACAATATTAGTTGGACCTGCATAAACTGACTCTTAGTAAGTTCATTATAGATGTACCTATATTAAAAAAGGAACTACATTAAATTTCGAAAAACACTGGAAAGTCGGGAGCTGGCAACATTAAACTGATCAGATTCTTTGTTCTTTTTCCAATATGTTATTATCGTGTGTGTGAATAGGGTCACAGAATTTCTAGCTGTTATTACTGCAGAAGCTACAAACATAAGCATAACGGGCTAAAAGAGTATATGTACTCATCCAGTGGTAAAGGATCAGTCCGCGTGGGCAAGCATCTCTCTTATTTTGTTGTTGTCAATCGAATAAGGCGGATAAATAGGTGTGTATGAAAAGCCCAAGGCTCAATGAATATACAAGGGCATGTAATTTGCGGGGAATTATTCATATGAAAAATGTGTTATTACTGTGTAATACTTTAACGAAATTATGTAAGCCGGAACCTTATCTAAAATAAACAAATTATCAAAAGGTATCAGTTTCTGTCAAAAACAAGGTTCATCGAATACCATTGAAAGGCTGAGAAATAGGAGCTACCTGAGGTTATGACTGCATGTAATTCCATGGCTTTATGGCACATGTGGCTTCAGCATTCTAGCAAGTCAAAAATGAGAAATCTAGTTTGTTAGTTCGGCAGCTTCTCAACGCTATTAATACATGCAATTAATTACATATGTATATGCTTGCTTTGGTTATTGTATCTCGCGAAGGTGGTAGGCCCTCTCGCCGCCTGTCCTGTACCCAGTTATTGCACTCGGGTATAAATATATGTGTATAAGCTTAACGCTCTCGCTCCTTCCAGCCGTCGACACGCTTCCCATGTTTTGCACTTTCTCTAGGAACACTATGGCAGCTATGACTTCCGCGCCGTAGACTACCACTTCGCCTACCCCTCTTTCTCTTATTTTGTGATGGTGACTGTTCTGCCGTAGCATTAAAACAGGCTCACTTATAGTGTAAAGAACGTTGCATTAACGAGTGAATGCGCGAGAGGATCGAAAATAGCAGCAGCAGTATAGATCGAGTGCGAACTCTTGCCGGTTACCGCGTTCGGTTAATAGCTAACCTTTGTAGAGTATTATCGAGATCCGAAAAGCGGCAGGCTGAATTGAATAATGTGAGACGGCGGCGGTTGACAGGCTTGGACTTCTCAACGATGTCGGCAGGACCGATCCAAAGGAGCTAGAAATTAGGTGCTGTTACTACGGCTCCTCGTGCGCACGAGCAGTTCATTAATGGGTCGGGAAGTGTGCTATTCCAATCAGGCTCATCATTGATACTAAGATGAAAAAAAACAGGATGCCATAGTTTACTATACCCGTTTCAGACCTAGTGTCTGCCACGTGCGTTTGCTTGGAGCGCTCACGTGGTATAACGGTAGTTGCTGTAGTCCATTAAGTAATGGCGACGTGGGCGGCAACGAGCGGTCTCTTGTACGTGGGGTGCGCGCCTTGGAGACAACAAGGTGATACGAGGCTATAGCAGCATGTATGACGACAACAACAGCAAGACAATCTCCACCCGCTAGTTCTACGCGACATGACCGTGTGCGTTTGTGGCAACAGTGATGAGGAAAACCACTCCACTCAACTGCCGCCGCCTACTGCACCTGTCTCCATTACCATGTAGGTGACCGACGTCCACTTTTCTTACTAACGCCGCTGTCAATCAGGTCATGCTCGTTTGAGAAACATGGCTTACTACGGGGTATTATCTTGGCTATTACGTTCACGTTCTCAGTAGGTAACAAAATAGTCTGACACAACGCCTAAAGACAGCAGAGCACATGAAAAAAACAGCGAGGTAAAGGTTACGACAGTGACGACACCTAGCAAAGAATGAAGAACCGAGAAAAGGAATAGCAACTTGAAGCACAGCTATGACCAAGCAATAAGCACGTATAACTGTATCAGCAGGTGAAAATGTCGACTGAACGAACCACTAAACTGCGTTAGCTAGAGGATCTTTTAATACACTGAATTCTTTTGCTTTTAAAATGAGTAGTACGTCTATTAAAGAAAGCGGAAGGACGCCACAATCGTAGGCGAAGACTAACGTGCCGTAAAAAGTATCTCCTAAAACCAACGCCAAGTATAGCTGAGCTATCAAGTTAAATACAAATTATTGTTCAGTATAGACGGCTTCATCATATATTTTCTTGTTTTAAGTGATTACTTCGGATTAATGCAAGTGACAACATGAACCAACATTTTATCTATTCATCACCCTGCTTATATCACTCTTTATAATCGGCATTATCTCACTGACCGCCTAAGAAAGCTGCGACTCCCTTTTGTAGTTGATAAACAAAGGCGTCATTTTTTGTTCATTGTCTAACATAATTTATTGCCGCAAACAGCTTGCACGGGTGTAGGTTGGCCTTAAAAACACAAATCGTAATGTTGGAAAGCGTATGATGTTACTGTTCTGGCAAGGGTTACCGAGCGCTGGTGCGCTTGCGCTTAGACCCATACGCACACATTGCGGACTTTCTCTCATACGAAGCTGCTAGCCGCATAGGCACACACATATATATATATATATGTAACGTCTGCAGGCGTAAGAGCGGTCGCTTGCGCCAACATTTGATAATAATAATAATAATAATGCGAAGGTGCTGCCACCACTGCCATATTAACTGGTACAGGACGCTGGAAAACTGCTAGAAGCCTGATTTGCGAGCCGTTGTTGCTGGCAGAATTTGCTAATCCAGCTGATTTGTTTGCCCGCCAGTAGCGACGCCGTGCAACAGATATAGCTGCTACTACGACTGGCAACGAAACGAAGGTGTGAAGAAAAAACTACTCGAGGCCTGCACTTCGCATTCAGAAAGCTGAAACGGCATTTGATCGAAATATTTTGTATTATAGTACGGCCAGCAACCGCCGCAATAATCGTTACCGCTACAACTGCAGAAATAAGAAAAAATAGCAGCTAGACAACACGCAATTAATCAAGATAATTTATCTACGAATTGAGTATTTATCGTTACGGTGCATGTATGAAACTCTAGCTATTGCCCCTATTAATCCGCATTAGTACGATGTGCCTTGTATCGTGCACGTTCTAGTAGTTACTTAATTGAATAAACAACAATGACTATCGACCTTCTGCGCTATTGTATGGACTAATACTAACGCACTTGATTGCCGACGAGTAATTTTATCGTGATCGTTCATTTTCTCCATCTTTTTTTTTTTTTAGCTAGTGTTTATTTTTGCTCCTTTTACTGTGAGTGGCTTCCGATCGGTTTCCCTATTCCTGCGCCAGACCATCTGCTACGTAATAAGCTTTACATAATAAACTATTAAAGTATATCTATGCATATATGTCTACCAATAACCCGTAGAGCACTCGTGGAAGCTGACGTCTACTTTGACGCTTATAGACACGGCGATAGTAATCTATACGCAGTGTTCTCTTTCGGGGTTTGTACGTATAAGATGCTGTCAATACAAAAAAAAGCGCTGGATTTCTGCCCACGGAAAGCAAAGACACGTTCGTTCTAAGACTTTCAGCCTTTTGGCTTATGGACGCGTAAACGTCAAATGTCTTTTTCATGCGCACCACTAATGACCACCTCCCATCTTTCTGATGGCGTCATAAACGCGCGGCGAGCCTGTCTGTCAATGCGCTCATATGTCCAGTGCCTCATCGATATGCACTATCGAAGTATGCCGGGGCCGCTGCTGCGGCTCGATGGGCATTCTTCACAACGGGGTTGTTGGGCCTGCCGAAAGCGGGCGACCGCAATTACGACTATGGAAGAGATCGAGGTTCCTTTTTCATACGCTCATGAAACCGTCTAGCCGGACTGTACCTGACAGATGTACCTAATAAATCAAATCTGATTTTGCAGCCCAGCAGGACTATACTTCTATTCTATGCGAATGTATAATGCATATATAACTCATTTGCTTATGGTTGAATCGATGCACTCACTCGGCTTTAACATCGTTTATTACTTAATATAAGATGGTAATGATGATAAGACCGATTAACCATAAAATTAGATGCTCTTTAGCCAGAAGGCACTTTTGGCACAGATCTATGGGAAGCCATTATTAACAGACGAAGTGGCGGACAAAGCGGTGTCGACATAATTTTCCTATTATCACTACGACCGGAGCAAGGTAGCCATTAGGTAGGAGGTTTTACGTAATCAGACAAATACCTATTTCTGGCTAACTTTCCTATTGTATCGGGGCTAGCTAGATAGAGTAGCGCGAATATTAGTTCAATGTCTACAGAAAACTGTAAATTTTATACAGATGCAAAGATTTACGCAGGATATGAATAAGTGTGTCACGCCGTTGGATACGGTGATTTTGTCAGTTAAGACAGTTTCGGGCACCGGAAGAACTCGAGTGTAATCGTTGCCTCGATAATAGGTCAGCAAACCCTGCAAGTATTCTGTATGTTGGTGACTTCGGCTCTTCATTGCTTACAATTGACAAACAAACCATCTCATATACGTACACAATTATAAAAGCTAAAAGACTCCGAGTAGAAACGATACAAGTGTACGAAATACGTTGAGGATTAGGGCAGCGCATTATTTTCTTGTTCCATTCTCTGATTAGGGGTAAAACATGGTAAGTGTATTTGGGAGGACTCCTACGATGCGATGGACGAACGGAAAATGTCCAGTACCTATCCAAACGTACCTATTTTGCTACAACGCAGGTGTCGTTTACAACAACCTTATGGCAAAACTTACTTACGTAGCAAGTTGACATGACCGGTGCGCATACGTTAATCTGTAGTATATTTTTGGCTTGTTTCTATTTCAGGTAATTTATTTCATCCCGAATCTTGTCAGGACCGAAGGTTTCTGCTTGTCCGAAAGTGAAGCAGATGGCGTTGTCTGATCCATCTGATCGGTTTGTGTTTAAGCTATTACAATGTGCTTTTTAAGGCTTAGTGGCTTGAAATATTATTGGAATTAATGTTGTAAGCTCTTAACAAAGAAAGTGAAAAAAAAAAAGCTTCGAGAAACATTTCCAGACACGGATATACGCGGATTAACGTTAACAGCATGAAAATCGTGGTATGTAAAAATTATACAATATGTATCAGTAATTTATTAATAGTACCAAACGAAATATGCCGGAATGTTACAGTAATTATAAGATATGGTAGGTTCATCTATTTATCTTCTGTAGTGTTAGTTCACGTAGAGTCGCCTATCACCCAGTCACAAAGTCGATCGAAGCAACGTTGGGTAAGCCAATAGAGAGCTTGGCCTTGACGTTTGAGATCCGTCTTGTGGAGGCCATGATCAATTTCGATCTTTCACTTAGGTTATACCCAATATAGACTTAGCTGTATTGGATCTTATCGGAAATTACCATAGGCATTAAACAAACGGAGGCACACAGGGATCGATGGTCCTACGAGTAGTACGTAATACCGACGACGACGATGCGTGACACGGCATCATAGATCGTTCGTTTCTTGTGTTCGCCGTGTTACGATTATCACAAGTAAACAGTCATATTGGTTTCTGGCTACTGTTTATTATAGATTTTTGCGCTTTTCTCATATCGAAGATGTCTTCAGCATTGACAATAGACGATCAAGATCAACGGTGGGTGCCATTTTTTGGTCGGGTTGGAGCTTTCCGTTGATGCAGGTTCGCTTCTAATAAGAAACTAAATGAGACATCGATACAAATGCTGGCGTTTAAGTATCTTCATATTGTCAATTAACTGCTATTCAAACATAGCTATCCAGTACCGAACGCATGACGTCCAGTGAATAAAGATAAGGTGTTTATCATTACTGATTTGTTTACTGATTGGATTTCGCTCGGCCTATCGAACGTACTTACGAGTACATATATTAAAATCAAATAATGCCATTTTTTTTTACTGCGCAATTAATGAAATATAATTTTATACCTGCATTTTGTAAGTTATTCCTGCTTAGAGACATTTAGATATGCGTGTGGATCAGGATCAACTAGTTAACTAGTCAGTCAGTATTCGCTTTTCGTGGCCATTTTTTTTTTATTCTCTGCTCGTTTCTGGGCCGCAAAGAAGTACGACACGCGCTCTCGTTCGTTTAACTGGGCCACAAAGGAAGTTATAGGAAATAGAAATTCCGATTTCTTTAAAATAAACGAGACAGCAAACACGTTGAAACAAATGAGGTTTGTAACACGGAGCAAGTTGCAATGTAGAACACGAGGCGTAATAAAAAGCCCAGAGTGAAAAAAATGTGTCTGAAAAAACTTCTCTTGTGTCTATTACGAATGCCTTCCCGCTAAGTGGAGCATTCTGCACGAGTTTCGTGCTAGAAACAGTAGCAACAAACAAGGGTATTTACTAATCGGTGTTGCCGTACGTTTCTGTCTCCTGGAGCTTGAATTGACTAGAGAACATCGCCGCATATGCCGTGAAATGTGGCTCCCCGCAGACGAATATACGGATGGAGGCCAAACGCAGACTATAACATTAGAGCAACAGCAGCAGTGAAGGCAGTTTGCGACGACGAAGGGTTAGGTGGGAACGCGAAGGATAAGCCTGGAATTTCCGCTAATCTGAGGTTGTTTAGCCTAGTTGTATGCGGTATCTCACATAGCGAGTCGACATCTGCACAACACATACAGGAGGAAAGGTTGAACTAGTTGAGTTGTGCTGCTTGAATATTACTCTTAGCTCGAAGACTGGTGAAGTCTGGAAAGGCCTAGTCGGATACCCTATCTAAGTAAAATAAGTAAATTGTACGAATATAACAATACGATTACATAAAGGTTGCAGTAACAGTGACACACGTAAGGTGCGGTACACGCTGAACGGGTGTACTTATTTTTAAGTAACTCCGTCGACTTTAGGCGGCCTGTGACGTCTCTAGGGCTGAAGTCGTCGAACGGGGGCAAGTCAGCGTGAAGGGGACATGGTGACGCAAGTAGTATGAAGTGAATTGAATATAATAGGTTAGAACTACGCATATTCGCGCCCTTATATCTCATCTGTATGAAGGGAGTATGAAACGATGAAGTTTTAGCAACAAGAAATTTGATGAGCAACGTTTACAATATCATTAGGCAAGAATTCGGTTTGACATAAAGGGAAATCTGAAATGGAATAGGCGGAACTGCGTTTTTGGGCGTTATATACTGCGTTAATAATGTTACGAGTGGTACCGTTGTGGGTTCGACCTCTCCGTCTCGGTTTCATGTGCGTGTATGATGTCACCTAAAAGATAGGTTTTAACTCGATGATAGTCTAGGCTCAGACAAGACGTTAGGTGAAGGTCGGCAGGATACTAGCATTGGTACAGTTTACCTAAATAGTGTATGCGACGTACTATCGGTAAAATTATGGGGAGAGCTGTGGGTTGTCGGTAGGCAACATGTTTGTTAACCATAAAAAAAGTCAACCTAAAGTCTTCGCCTGGACACGCGAACTCCCCGGTGGTCCTGATTTAAAATAAAGTTTTCCTCAGAACTGCCACGTTTCAGGCCTAGCTGGCCTTCTGATCGAATCTGTCAGTGTGCAATTTTCCATTTTTCTCATGTTTCCACTTTTCGTAGTTCAAATAAGCATTTTTGAAAGTGAAGTTTATTTTCTATTTTGATGTTACCATACAGTATGTATATGTATGGATGTGCTAGGTGATTTTGTCCGTGAACACTTTTATTGAATTTTAACTATACGAGGAGTCAAGGCTTTTCGCTGCTTCAAATCGTACGCTGTTAATTATTGTGATATGGTAATATATTGTTAATATAACCCACTTCCGATTTGAACTTGTGTCAACATCTAAAACCTTGCTCTAAGTCACTTACTCGTCTATTTACGTGTAGAAAATGCGGATACATTTTGTTTTTGCACGCGTGTTTTGTCTTTGTATTGTTCTTTGGGTTTGTTATTGCTTATATTATGAAAAAAAAAAAAAACAATTTACTCATCACATTTGCGAACACTAGTCTATCTATATCCAGTAGAGCATGGTTTAGTCGCAAACAGGCGTGTATCATCCACACAAAACATATATATCTCAATGGCTTCGTTTTCCGCAGCTTTTATTAGCTCTTGATAAATAAAACTAGAGAATTAATTAGAGACTAAAGGTTCCAGTATGCGCCTGTTTCGCTACAGTTAGTTTCTCTGATTTGATTAATTTTATTGGTATTCAGTGCCTGTCTAATGGTAACGTTTAGACTTTCGATTGTCGCGGCAGCAGCGGGAAAGGTTGTGCAGAATGAATTGCTGTCGATATTCTGTCGCCGAACTAATAAAAGGCGAAATGGGCTCGATTACCGCGGCCAGGTCAGTATCGATAGATAGCAATGCGCGTGCGCAAGGAACTACCAGACCTAGGCGTGAACCTGAAAGGACTACTCTAATTGCCTTTAATGGGGACAATCTATTCGTTCGACACAACTCACTCACTTGCTGTCACTGGTCATTGGTTTTTCTTTGTAACGAAGTGGCTGCGTTTGCTTGCCCTTTTCTGTGTCGCCACAGGGGCAGTTGTCGCAATATGGCGTCTCTAATGATCATTATGAATCTGGTATTTATGTGGCTGGCTGCCTTTTCTCGCTTGGCCGTAGCGTTTAGCTGAATCGATGAGAACACGTATGGCGATATTATCGTGAGTAATGGCGGTGCTAATGAATATATTGGCGCTCTGGTAAAAAAAAAAAAGCAAAACCAAAAAATGCGGAACCGAATTCGAGGTAGACGTGGTTGCCTTCAAGGGATGATTCGGTATTGTTTCTACGAGTATTCGCTGACTAGGACAGACTAGCGAAACACCGTTAGGCCACTGAAAAGTACCTAAAATATGTCCTATGTTTGACTCAGTAACAATGAGACGGAAGACATTCTGCTGCTCACAGCATACCGAAACGAGGTTGAGATTCATTAATCTGCTCTGATCGAAATTTTCTTGGAAGCTTTCAAGCGTCTGTAAGCGTATATTTGTGCAGCATTACTGTTCATTTCACATCTGGTGGTTTGGATGGTCCTCTCGGCGAGAGAAGTTCGGTTTGACGTATCGTTTGATTGTTCCTTCGTGTTACACGACGTCGCACGGCTTACTGGTCATACGACTCCGTGGGGCGGCATACCCCTTGACACTGCCTGTCTGCCCCAGCGACCAATCCTTTGATTTATTTTCTTTCGTACTCGATGTTTTTCAGCTTAGCTATGACGTACGATATTTGGTGCTCTTAGCAGCAGTGTTCATGTTAAATTTATCGCAAATACCAAATAATAATAACTATTATTACAGTTATATAGAAATAGGTTCATGGCTACATTTTGCCACAAGTTACTAAAAGCAATTGACCCTTCTGTTCGAACCATGAATTGCGTTCCAATTAGAAGACATGCACTGAAAACTAATTAGGTGTACTAGTTCCTTCAGAGAGTCCTGCACGCGATATGTATTACTGAAAAACCTTCTGCATTGACGGAGTACCGTATGTCCATGAAACAACACCATACCCGGTAGAATTTCATGTTGTCATCAATTTGTACACCTTTTAAGGTATGTCTTCTTTATAGAATTTACTATACGGCTTAATTTAAGTATGTCGGGAGATATTATTGTAAAAAAGATCTTAGGTTTTTTCCAGAATTTCTGGTTATGGCCCGGTTGTAGAATTAACCCGAGGGTTGTTACCGGTGAGCTTTCCCAGGAAAGCCAAGAGAAGCCTGTGAATTCGATTCTGAATGCTAATTTTCGGAAAGACAGAAATAGATAAGTACGGCCATTGAAAAAGTTAATTATTCACTCTAGCCGAGTCATGTAACGCTGAGATAGGGCTGATGTGCTAGGGAAGTCAGGCTGGATAATTGAAGTTGTAAAGGAGGCTGCACCCCAAGGCGGAGCACTGGCCATACTCTTCTGCGCAAGCTGAACTGTT